TCTTGATGCTCCCTATTTAAGCGTGAAACATGTAAGTTGATGCAAGATCATGCAAGAAAATGTCAGATCCAATGTTACAATATGTTACATTGCGCACTTTGCCTGGGATTGCCTGGTATGAAAAAATGTAAGTAGCTGCAGGGGAGTTTTCCAAATTTCTGCAAAAACACATGAAGACCGTGACCTTAAGGTAAGCGCTTATGAAATCTAGCAAGCAGATGCAAACAGCATCAGCAACAATATTGCAGGCAATCTTGCAGATGGTGCATGATCCAAACAAACCGGGAACAGCAGAAGATAGGATAAAAATGAATAGAAACAGAATAAGGTAGCACAAGATAGTACCAAATAGTAGTGCTAGTAGTACTAGTAGTACTAGTAGTACTAGTAGTACTAGTAGTACTAGTGGCAGCAATATTAATACGAATTAATAGTAGTAATAGAGTATATAATAGCAGCAAGAATAGTAGTGGTTTTCATATTATTTCATATTACTTCATATTTTATCATTAAAAATTGCTCGGGGTATTTTGAGATGATTCGATCTGCACGTCCCCCCCCGTGCCCCCCCCCCTGGAAAATAGAAAAAACGTGAATTTTTTAAAAATGAGGGGGGGGGTCACAAATTGGAAGTTACATTTTTTGACCCCCTCATTTTTTATTTTTTCATTGGGGGGGGGCAAAAAAATGTAAGTTAGGGGGTCGCGAAAATGTAACTTACATTTTTTGACGGGGGGGTCCCCCCTATTTGTTTGTAACTTACATTTTTTGACCCCCCCCCAAAAAAAAAGCTGCCCAAGGGGGTGGGGATATTGCAAGTGTTGCTGGTGGATGAGTTGCCGATGGAATTCCATTGTGCTTTGCAACTGTAGGATCGTTCCCGCAGTGTAAATGGTTGCGTCAAGGTTGCTTCGTGCTGTGGCTGCATTGGTAATACTTTTGTCTTTTGCAGCTGGATCTCGTAAATCGTATTGGAGTGGCTGCATGAAGGCTGCGACAGTGATTTGTCAGCAGATTTTCTTCATTTTGGCGCTAGTGAATTTCCTTCTAAAAATCCTTATTTTAGAAAGTGCTTCAAAATCGTCTTTTTTTCGCTCTGGCGTCGAGATCCGGTTTTGGAGCTACAATTTCCGACGCCGTTGTGCGTAGTTCTATTGTGTTTTGCAACTCTGTCTCTGCAGATCGCATTGTAATGGCTGCGTCAAGGTTGCTTCGTGCTGTGGCTGCATTGGTAATACTATTGTCTTTTGCAGCTGGATCTCGTAAATCGTATTGGAGTGGCTGCATGAAGGCTGCGAAATGGATTTGTTAGCAGATTTTCTCCATTTTGGCGCTAATGTTTTTTTGTTGCACGTAGGATTAGAGCAGTGTGAAGTGTGGGGCGTGAAGAGTGCAGTGTGAAGTGTGCAGTGTGAAGGAAGCAGTGGGAAGTGAGAAGTGTGAAGTGTGGAGTGTGAAGTGTGAAGTGTGGAGTGTGAAGTTTAAGTTTGGAGTGCGAAGCGCGCAGTGTGAAGTGTGAAGTGTGAAGTGTGAGGTTTGGAGTGTGAAGGAAGCAGTGGGAAGTGTGGAAGTGTGAAGTGTGGACTGTGAAGTGCGAAGTGTGAAGTGTGAAGTGTGGAGTGTGAAGTTTCAAGTTTGGAGTTGAAAGAGTGCAGTGTGAAGTGTGAAGTGTGGAGTGTGAAGACTTTGCTTCGTCTCTCGCTGAAAAAATCAAACGGTTGTCGAGGGAAGGACACGGTCGGGACAGGTTGTCTTTGAACTATAGGTCATTTATGTTTGGGAAACTTCCGCCGCCGGCTTGCCCGGGTCTATGTTCAAAGGAAGTTTAGGGGGAGAAACTTCCGTGTTACGGACTTTTAGAATGTCAGGGAAAGAGTTAGTCAAAGAAAGAGTTAGCAAAGAAAGAGTTCGTCAGGGAAAGAGTTAGTCAAAGAAAGAGTTAGTGAGGGAAAGAGTTAGTCAAAGAAAGAGTTAGCGAGGGAAAGAATTATTCAAAGAAAGAGTTAGCAAAGAAACAGTTAGTCAAGAAAGAGTTAGTGAGGGAAAGAGTCAGTCAAGAAAGAGTTAGTGAGGGAAAGAGTTAGTCAGGATATATGAGGTAGTCAAAGAAGAGTTAGTGAGGGAAAGAGTTAGTCAAAGAAAGAGTTAGTGAGGGAAAGAGTTAGTCAGTCAGAGTTAGCAAAGAAACAAGTTAGTGAGGTGAGGGAAAGAGTTAGTCAAAGAAAGAGTTAGTCAAAGAAACAGTTAGTCAGGGAAAGAGTTAGTCAAAGAAAGAGTTAGTGAGGGAAAGAGTTAGTCAAAAAAAGAGTTAGTGAGGGAAAGAGTCAGTCAAAGAAAGAGTTAGTGAGGGAAAGAGTTAGTCAAAGAAAGAGTTAGTCAGGATATATGAGGTAGTCAAAGAAAGAGTTAGCAAAGAAACAAGTTAGTCAAAGAAAGAGTTAGTGAGGGAAAGAGTTATTCAAAGAAAGAGTTAGCAAAGAAACAGTTAGTCACAGAAAGAGTTAGTCAAAGAAAGAGTTCGTCAAAGAAGCAGTTAGTCAGGGAAAGAGTTAGTCAAAGAAAGAGTTAGTGAGGCAAAGAGTTAGTCAAAGAAAGAGTTCGTCAAAGAAACAGTTAGTCAGGGAAAGAGTTAGTCAAAGAAAGAGTTAGTGAGGGAAAGAGTTAGTCAAAGAAAGAGTTAGTGAGGGAAAGAGTCAGTCAAAGAAAGAGTTAGTGAGGGAAAGAGTTAGTCAAAGAAAGAGTTAGTCAGGATATATGAGGTAGTCAAAGAAAGAGTTAGCAAAGAAACAGTTACCAGGGACATCCAATGGTACAGAAATTTCTGTATCGAAAAGTTTCTGCTCGAGGAATTGTAAAATCACTATGTTCAGAATTTTCGTTCGTTTCCCCAAAAAGTGCTCGAGGTATTTTTGGGGCCCCTATTCATCCCTCTCCACAGACCCATCCAGCCCCATGTTGCTGGGCCCACACCAGCGACTTCTGCGCTGAACTTCCTCCAGTTCATGTCGCACAACAGCCAGGCCCTCAGGGCCATCAGGTTTTTCCGATCCTGGTCCGAAAGTATCTTTGATACTTCATTAGTGACCTGGTGATTACTCGGGTGGCAATAAGGGTGCCAGCGTTCAAACGTCGTGCCACACGGCATATCTTGCCAATATAATCTTCATCACTCCAGCAGCTGAAGCCTAAAGCTTTCAGCAGGATCATAAAAATCCAAAATTCCATAAGGGTTATATACGAAAGTACCCAGGCCCAATCAAAAGGAAATGGAACGGCAGTGGGAAATTAAAAGTCACCGGGTTTCACCACATGTAAATAGGAACAACCCCAATCTCAAAATTGTTTTGAGTCGAAGTCAAGAAACAATGTGGATTGATGACCCACAAAGCTCCAGCGTCCAGTTGCTCCTCCATTGATTTCCTGGTTGGTTACCCATTAGTTTTGATACAAAACCGTCACAGAAGAGAAATGATCCAAGTAAGGCTGAACACCATCCAAGTTTCGGGACGTGAACATACAAATGCAATTTAGGTCGCAGATTGTACAGTGGCCATCTGCGGTCAGAACTCATGCGTGCCAAAGCAGTGTACCCTTCCTTGTTTGCCAGGGGACACCGGTACTTGGATGCACCTCCCAGTTTGTAAGTGGCTTACTCCTGCCATATAAGATTGGGGATATTCTAAATACAATTGGGATCGCCCATGGTTATAGCCATCTTACAAACTGGGATGCGCCCCCAAATATCGTGTAAACCCTTAGTCTTGGGGACTTCAATGGCACAAAAACATCTTAGGATTGTCCCGAGGATCAGCTGAATTATACCCATGCTGCACGATGGTTCTGGCTGTGCGCGCAGGAATCCAAATTCCCTCTGCATGCAGCATATGGAAGAATTGGTTTGTGCTCCGGACAGTCCATGTTAGAACTTCAAGGAACTCCTTGTGCTCGGGTTCCTGGACTACAGTTGCTATCCCCACCAAAATATAGATTTTTTTTGTTGGGCCCACACTAGCGAATCCTTTCCCCCTACAATATTAAAAATACCCCCTAGAAGCCATGGTTTAATAGGGAATGTCCACAGAATAATTGTTTAATCTTATGATCCTAATCTTAAACACCCCCTAGAAACCACGGTTTAGTAGGGAATTTCCACAAAGTAATTATTTAATCTTTTCCCCTAATATTACACACCCCTTAGAAAGCATGGTTTAGTAAGGAGGTTCCACATAATACAAATTTAGTCTTATCCCCTTAATATTAAACATCCCTTAAATTGTTATTACGGGGAAATTCCCTACTAAACCATGGTTTCAATAGAATTAAGTCTTTTTCAAAAGACCCTTATTTGGTCAAAGCTCCACATCCTCAGGCCCCAGACAGTTGAGCTCTGACTCCAACCACTTGCATAACAACGCGGTGTCGTGGGCACGTCCGGTCCCTGTGGGGAAGTTCCGCTTCAACCTGGTTTTGGGAGGTGTGGGCGGGCAACATGTCACATAAAACAAGAGTACCTCCTACAAAAGGGGAAAAAACAATCAGACCATTGCCAAGCTCAGGTGATGTGGCGAGACAATTTTGAAAGTACTTTTCTCGAAGGACTTCACATGCGCAGAGTGGTGATGTTCGGCACACCACCCACAAAACCTGTCAAACGCCTGGTCCAGACGATGTGGAAGGGAACCATTGCCAAACACTTTGAGATGGCATAAGCTAATCAATCCACTAGCTGCCAGGTCGCCACCGATGCCAATGTTAAAAACATGCATCAGATCAGGCTTCACCACTTCAGGCAAATCCCCACCAGGTATGGATCGAAGGGGAGAAGAGAATCCAGCTTTGAATGGGCAAGGGTTGACATCTTCAGGCCCCAGCGTGCGAACAAACCCATTTCGGCTCATGTCCCACCAGTCCTGGTGCAGATTAGTGATCAGGGTCTAAGTAAAAAAAGTAGAACTGTCATCTACCAGATTTGGGATTACAGCAAAAACAGCAAATGAGGGCTAAAGTATTCGCTGAGGTTCAGTCCCCTCACACAAATGGCAAATGCGGGAACTCCGAAAGCCAGTGCTGAGTGAGTAAGCTTTCCGCAACCAAGGCCAGTCACCCTTGCAGGCAATGTACCCAGCGTACCAGGTGACCATTTCTCCACTTACCTGTTGGGCGCAAGCCAGCTAAATTTATACTGTGATATTTTTGGTTCAAACAATTTGTTATCGGATTCTTGAGATCCCCACCGGCCTCGCAAGTGACGCCGGATTCAAACAGACGCGTCAAGTCATTGGCCAAGGCTTCCAAAAAAATCCCACTGATGGTGGCATCCTTCTTGGCGTACCAATTTGCAGGCATCAGGGTTGCCAAAAGCCGGGTCGTGTAGGAATGCCTTAGTGTCGGGGATTGCTAATCACACAAAGAGGCGAAAATGGGAGCCCTTAAGATCGACCCTTAGATTCATGGGGAAACCGTGGGAAATATATACAAGGCAGCTAGGATACTTTGACGAGTTCAATTCATTTTCACCAGAGTAAGGGATGATCACCTGGTAGGCCAGGACAAGTACTGGAATACGGGCCAGGCCCCTGCCCTCATCCCCGTGCAGGGCCATTGGAATTGTGCAACTCCTTTGCTCCTCCGTTCTCTGGTAGATGGGATGGCTTGGCTGGCAAGTTCGAAACCTTTCCCAAAAACGAGTAAACATAGCCTTGCAATTTTCCAGTCCATCACGGTCAGGGTTGAGACCACCAAGAAAAAAATTGGGATATTCCTTGAAAATCGCCTCCATCCAGGATGAAAGTAGGACGATAGGATGTTGAATGGGGATTTCTCTATGACGTCGTCTTCCGCTAGACGTTCGAATCCTCCTTCTGACTCGGATCTTGAAAGAGGATACTTTCACCCCAAACAGCTTCCCATCGCGGTGGACATACCGGTGAAAATCTCTGGCAGCGTTTTTCCCAGTGCGACCAGACTTTGATTTCCGATATCGGGCTAACTTGTCAAGCTCTGGGTCTGTGACTCCTGAGTGCCGTAACTGCTTGTAGCTGAAAAATCCAATAATTATAGGGGATAAAAATCCTATAGCCAATGAATAATAAAACATATGCCCAAATCGAACTGTACAGGACCCAATTTTTTCATCCGTTTTGAAGCCACATTTGCTAGTCGAAGCACCCCTCGGGAAGAAGTAACCTAGGTTGGGAGAAGCCAAGATAGTCATGAGCATCTTGGGACTTGAAACACAAACATCAGAACTATTTTTTGAAGGAGGCAACCCCTTCTTCAGCATCCTGTAAAAGAGCGTCGGCCAAGTCATCCTCATCTGAACTTGATGGAGATCCACTAGACCGTCCTGCCGCACACTGGACACCCAAAAAGATTGATTCTCTAGACTCTCTAGACAGTGGGCCCGATGGGTTATATAAAAAAGGCAGCAGGGAAGTCACCCAAACAGCCAGCGCTGCAGGCCTCTGGTTTCTGCTTCCGGTTGGGCAAAGCCAAGGCCTGCGTGGGAACGGAGCAAGGTTGCAGGCAGCCCAAAACTTAATTTATCTACAATCCTGGAACTAAAAAAAGTGGAGCTGCAAATAGGACCGTCCTTTTTTTCCCCAAGTGCTGCTTTAATCTGCATTGAAATCCGCTGAGGCCATGAAGCGACATGAAGTTCACGAAGTGAGTGCATTTCAGCACTCACCTCCCCCCAAAAGAAATTTCAGCGTGTGAAATGCACACGGGAATATATAGTTTCTCTAAGCGTCCAACACAGCTGACCCCTGAAGAAGCAAATTGAACCATACCCTAGCTTGCACCTGCATGGTACCAAACAAAAATGGAAAACTTGAATTGGGTCGCCTGCAAACACATGCCAGTCGGCTTTGCCCGGGCAATACAAATCTACTTTGACTTTCGTGCTTTCTTAGGCTTGGGCTAACCATCTTCAGGGGAGCGAATTTTTTCCTTACCCTCCTTCTCCTTCTTACCCTTGCTCGACTTCGCTGGCTTGGTGCGAGGTGGAGGCGTCGACGTCGAGGATGCCGGAGCCTTGATGTTCCTGAGCAAACGTGGCAGGTGGGGGCCCGGGTGTTGCAGCAACAAGGGACCTTTAGAATGGAACAATGGAACATGTTTAATTATCTTAGACCCATCATATACGTATAGAATAATGTGGTTCTCAATTACGGGGAAAGTAAGCACACATTGGTTGGTCCGATTCTGTGCAGTTTTTGGCTTACCCCTCATATATACTTATACCCCTGTTGGATTGTGCTTTGGATTGGCATTGCACAAGCCGGTCCCAAGCAGGAGTAACAAGAATCTTGCTTCTGCTGATATAATTGTTGAGCGTGACATCATCCTTAGTGATCTCAGCAAACAAGGCCATCAAATCCTTCTTCTTTGTCTCGAGAGACCTGAAGGCAAAAAACATGTTGCAGGACCTGAAACAATTTGGAGTGCGGAATGCGCTGGTGGGGAAAATTTGCTCTACAATTCTGGGTCCCTCACCCTGACTGAGAGGTGTCCATAGACAGGTAGTCAGCTTGCTTCTGGCTAAGGGCATCGTACTTATCATTCAAGGACTTGACCAACTTCTCGATCTCTTTCGCCATCCTAAGATGACAGATGTAGGCATATTTGAAGTCCATACAGGGTTCACGTTGAAACAATGTGTTGTCATGTGTTGTCCCTTGTTCAAAGAAGAGGCGAAGCTGCCCGAGGATTTCCCACTGCCGCCAATTTCTCCTCATACCCAACAGCGCTAGGGTAAAGACCCAGAATCAACATCCAAACTGCCTAGGTGTCCTGGTGGCATGTCGCTGCATCGATCTTTTTGCCAAGGACGGCAATGAAGGTGGGGACGATGGTAAAAGGTGAGTCATTCTTGTTCAGCGACGGAAAGACATGCCTTGGATCCAACCCAGCATATATACAAATATAGAGAGAGAGAGACAGAGACAGACAGAGAGAGAGAGAGAGAGAAAGAGAGTCGTCATGTGTATGATTATTACCAACGCTGTTCCCTACCTATTCCATGTGCAACTCTGGCATATAAAACTGCAATCTCGCAACTTGCTGTTGCCAGAGGCAGCAGCTGCTGCTGCAGCCGCCGCTTGCTCAGTCTTTGGGTCAGAGGGGTCATGGGCTGTATCTCCCCCCTCCACGGCGGGATCCACCAACCCTTCCGAATCCAGCAGGGCACCGTCAGCATCCTGCAAAAGGAGACACGATTGAACTGAGAAAAGGGTGGATTGAATTCTGGATTGTGTTGTTGAAACATCCATGGCAATGGGTCCTCCACTTCGCCTTCACCCCTCAGGTTTCTCATCTCACCCCGCTCATTTTCGTTGTGGAAAGAATCCACAAGCACCAAGCGTGCCTCTTCTTCGCCGTGCACACTGTTCTCCCGGACCAAGCCATGGGATCGTGCCCATGACCATGATCGGTCGATCATAGCCCTTGGCAAAGAAAGCGCTACAAAGAATGTAGAACAGTGTGGAACTATTTGTCAACTATTTTTCCCCACCTGCCAGGTGAGGGTTGTTAGATTTTATCAGAGCTGTTTCCGCCTCCTCCTCTTCCTCCTCCTCCAGTTTCTCCTCGACCATGTCTGCATCAACTTCCACGTCCACTTCCGCCTTGCCAACTCGTCGCCAATCTCTTCGCCAACTTCCGCGTGCAGTGGGCACTGCTGGACCTCAACTGCAAGGGTCTGAGCGCACTGGGCACCGCTAAATAGAATGTCAGATAGAATGCCAGAAGGTATGCCAGATAAAGTGCCAGAATGCTTGCCAGATAGAACAACAGAAGATTTGCCAGATAGAATGCCAGATAGAATGTCAGAAGATATGCCAGAAGATATGCCAGATAGAGTGCCAGAAGATATGCCAGAACATATGCCAGGTAGAATGCCAGAAGATATGCCAGATAGAATGCCAGAAGATATGCGAGATAAAATGCCAGAAGATATGCCAGATAGAATGCCAGAAGGTACGCCAGATAGAACGCCAGATAGAATGCCAGAAGGTATGCCAGATAAAGTGCCAGAATGTTTGCCAGAACATATGCCAGAAGATATGCCAGATAGAACGCCAGATAGAATGTCAGATAGAATGCCAGAAGGTATGCCAGATAAAGTGCCAGAATGTTTGCCAGAACATATGCCAGAATATTTGCCAGGTAGAATGCCAGAAGATATGCCAGATAGAATGCCAGAAGATATGCCAGATAAAATGCCAGAAAATATGTCAGATAGAATGCCAGAAGATTTGCCAGTAACAAAACGTACAGGTGTCATGGTGGGGATAACTCGAAGTAAAGTAATTAGTTTTTCAATGATTTCAGTAAAGGGTCTTCGTGTACTTCTCCACATCCATGAGGTAAGCCTTTGTTACCCATCTTCCCTGTTTCCCCTGCTTGTTGGTAACTTTGTTCCACTTGGTGATCTCAAGTTCCACTTGCTTGAAATCTCCGTGCTTTTCCAAAAGTTCTCTCAGCTTTTCACCTGAGGGGCAAGTGACGATACCAGGACATATTAGGGACATGAAAATGCACTCGACAACCCCATGGACGTATAGTAAACCCCACGTGAAATTGTTGATTAATTTTCAATCTCAAGCAAGTTGCGCCCTGACTCTGTAGAATACAACTGCAGGACATCTTTGGAAGCTGTGATCTTCTTCTTGTACTTGGGGTCACAGTAGCGTCGCATCCTAGGCTTTCCATACCCCAAACAAACACTTATGAAACCGGGCGACATGTAGAAACTGATTCTAACACATGCTGATAGTTGCTATCTAGGCTCTTGTGATAGTACTTATCGAACTTGGAAAGATGAGTGGAAGGTGTGCGCGACGATGGCGCAGTGGAGGCTGCACGTGATGGGGAATACCCAGAAAGGCCATCACCATCATCCCCGCACTCCCCTTGGTCCCCACCCAGCTCCTTGCCCTCATGCCCGCTTCCACTAGCCAAAGCAGACTTGGCATCCTCGCGTTTCACAGACCCTGTATCTTTGCAAGTAGGGGCTGGAGAAGGTTTCTCTAGTGCAGCTTCCTCCATCATTCTCTGAACTTTCCAATAGCTATCAATCAACGCTTCCGTGGAATCTGACCGACCCTTTGAAACTTCATCCGCCGGTGGCTTGTGAGCAGCCACTGACTTGGCATCATTGCCAGCCACAAAGGCCCCTGACGCTGAAGCAATAGCTGGAGCGCCTCCCAGGCAAATAACGTTTGTAAATTTCTGTATATATAGTTTATATATATATATGTATATATATATATATATATGTATATATATATATATGTATATATATATATTTACATATACATATGTGTGTGTTTGCGATGGCGCATGTGTTAGGTTATGGGTCCTTTTACTCATTTACGAACATCTTGAAACCATGAAAAACGATATCATGAGAGATTTGAGGAAGAAAGAAGGGTAGATAGATGAGTTAGCTAGTTCGCGGAAGAAAGAAGGGCAGATAGATGAGTTAGCTAGTTCGCTAGCTGTAGAAACATAGGAATACAAAAAGACAAATGGATAGGTTGGCTAAAACTCGTTGGTTCGAGAGCTTTAAGTTTCCAAAAAGAAGGGTGGCTACAAAGATCACAGGTGGATATCAAGATAGATGTGCTAGAAAGGCAGATTTGGATAGAAAGGATAGGCAGGGAGAAAGAACAATCAATAGAGGAGAAAGAAAGATAGAGGGGAAGATTTAAGTAGATACAAGAGTAATAAGGTTAATAGGTTAGATAGAAAGATAGCACAAGAGAAGGATCGTTATATGAAAAGGTTAGATTAGGCTAGAGTAGTTTAAATGTAGAGTAAGTGAGACTAGATAGACCGTTTATTCTTTAGACGGGTAGATAGAAAGATAGACAGATGGTTCTTTTAAAAGCGGGCCAAGAAACGTACGCAGATAAAACGTTGTTGGAGATGGGTCGTTATAAATAATGTGGACAGCTTCAATTCGATTATGAAGTATAAGCAGACACTCATAGCAGATCAAAGTATACCTTTTAAAGTCTAAGTTTTGAGCCCTCAACCTTCACCAGCATGCTTTAAGTTCTGGTAGGTGTCAAATTAACTATCCAGCACGGCCCTGGGGTGTGAGCCTGGCACGTCCAAGGTCTCAGAAGCCTGCACAGGCGTGGCTTTGGCCAAGCGAGCCTGAATGGCAGCGATCTTACGCCGGGATTCCTTAGTTGGGTCTGGCGGGGCTGGGTTGAACTCATAGGATATGGCCCCATACTCAGCTACACAGAGCATTCTTTCACCCAAACATTTGTATATAGATTAAAAAATACCATTGGGTGGTCTGCAATCTTTTCCCCACCTTAGTCAAGGCTCTTCAATTTGGCTTTGCAAAGCCAACTTCGTTGAAGCGTGTTCCGGTGGGCATGTCATCCTACACCCTTTGACTAGTGTTTGGCAAGACCCCAACAGACCGGATCCTGACATGAGTCTGACCCAAATGTGCTACGATGCAGGAATAGAAAATGTTGATGATGTACTGCGATCACAAAAAGTTTTCGATACACTTTTTGAATTTTCGGCTTTTTGCGGTTTTTTGCGCAAATTTTCGGCTTTTTTGCGCAAATTTTCGGCCGAATCGTTTTTTGAATTTGGGCCATTCAGACCATTGTTCAAGTCATCTGACCGAATTGTGGTACTGACCCCTTTTCAGCACCAAAAAGAGAAGGTAGCGTGGCTGCCCCACACCATCTACTTCAGCACCTGACTGTTGAACTCCATGCGTTCGTGTTCAGGAACACATACCTAGGCCAGGCCCCCCCAAAACCGGCTGACCTATACTTAAGATTCGGAACTGGTCATGTGGAGAATTTTGATTTCGAAAGGGTCCAAAAAGATTAAGCTATGGGACGACTCGTGTAACCTCCATATCAAACTCCTTCATGGTTTCCAACCAGCTGTCCGGGATCTTCACATACTTGCACTTCCACAAATATTTCCATACATCTAGAAGACCTGCGTCAATCCATGGGTCTTGCAAAGGAGCTTGTTGAAATAGTTCCCGGTCCGTGAGTCTGGTGTTTACATTGGCTTTGTGCCTCAAGTCTCGTTCAACTCCCCTGCGGCCTTTCCACAAGGCCAAAAGCCGACGGGCAAAGCCTTCCGGGTAGCACCTGGCAATGAAGGCCAGCAAAAGGATTGGGAAAAGGCAGGGGGCTTGAACAAATCCGCAGTATAAATATAAGGCCAACCCCAGATGAACCACAAAGATTACCCACCTAAATAGTGATATATTTAGAAAATGACATGGTTTAGCAGACTGGGGTTGACATTATATAGATACCCATGACTGGAGTCTATACGGCCATAAGGGCTGCACGCCGTTTTTTTCAAGTCGGCTGTGCCAACAAACTTCTTGGCACCATCCTTGCTGTGGTATTTTCCTTGCACGAGTTCATGTTTGAACAGAAATAACTGAAGATGTCAGGACATGTGGGGCATTTGGGACATTTTACTTAGGCCCTGACTCACTGGTGCCAGGCGTGTGTTTTCTTCGCGAAACTTTTTTGTCAATGGTCCCATGTCAAGCCCAGAAATGAAAGATCCATTGGAATACGCCAAAGTCGGCTTGCTGGTTGCCGATCCCAGCAAAAGCATCCAGAAGCGCTGGACGTACACCTGGGCGAAGGCTATATAACCAAGGTTTGACCCCCGTGGGAAACCTATATATGTGGTAAACACCCCATCGAGAAAAAAAGGTGAACAGTAAGTCTTTATTCCCAATCCATTTCAAAGAAGGGACATAACAGGTTGAATTGCAGAACCGTTCCCATCGTGGATGTCGATTCAAAATAGACGCCCCCGGCTGCTCCAGTACGAAGAAGCAATGCTTGGCTACAATAAGCATACATACCAATGTAAGCCTCAGAATGGCCAATGCTGGCTGGCTTTGACATCACCTAGTTTGGGACCATTTAGGGATCAAAAGATATGCTCAGCAGGTATAAACAGTTAAACAATCAAAGCGTCCGTGAAATCATCATCGTCCCCTCACGAACAAAGTCCCACTGCATAGCGCCGAAAATGTTTATGTAAGTCCTAGATGAAGTGCCTCTAGCTGGGAGGCCCCAGCTGTTGCAATTGGGTCCCATTAGGTTTAAGGCCTCTTCAACCTCGCAAAGTACGGTGTGGAGAACCAGCCTCGGATCTTGGCCGGGGCCCTGGTGGTGCAGGCCATGCTTCCACTGCGGGGACCAAAGCTCTAAATTAAATTTCACTTGGCACAAGCCCCAAGAATTTAAAACTTATATATATCTATAGAAATACAGTAATATATAGTATGGTTCAGCATATGGTTCAGCCAATGTACAGGAAGCCTGCTGGAGCCAAGAAATTCATCGTTCGCTCACCAGGGCAAAAGAGCTCGTCAATTTTTGCGCATGAATATCCACATGAGGACCTGAGAGGCATTTC